TCTCTACTAAAAATACAAAAAATCAGCTGGGCATGGTGCCGTGTGCCTGTAATCCCAGCTACTCGGGAGGCTGAGGCAGGAGCATTGCCTGAACCCAGGAGGCGGAGGTTGCGGTGAGCCGAGATCGCGCCATTGCACTCCAGCCTGGGTAACAAGAGAGAAACTCCGTCTCAAAAAAAACAAACAAACAAACAAAACAAAACAAAACAAAAAAATTGACCGGGTGTGGGGGCTCACGCCTGTAATCCTAGGTACTCGGGAGACTGAGGCAGGGGAATCACTCGCGCCCAGGAGGCAGAGGCTGCAGTGAGCTGAGATCACACCACCCCACTCCAGCCTGGGTGACAGAGCGAGACTCCATCCCAAAAAATTAAAAATAAAATAAACAATAAAGATGACAAAAAAGTGAGGGCTCTGCGGATGGGATGACCGCGCTGCAGCGTGGCCTGGAGATGAGCCATGTTGATCCTTGTAGTCATAACCGGCCCTTGGCTATTCCGGGTTCCGTGCGGAGTGGGGGACAGGTCGGCCCTTAGCAGTGGGCAGCTGGTGTCACCATCGCCGTCCCCGTAGTCGTCATCATCATGGTGGTCCTTGCTCCCCTCAGGACTGGAGAGCCCAGGTGCACACAGCAGCATGGAGGGACATGTGCCATTCCCGCAAGAGCGCCCCAGACCCGGGGCGGCACCCTTGCAGTCCTGGCTGTCACACGGGGCAGCTTTCTTGGCAGAAGACAGGACCTGGGGAGGAACACAGCTGTGAGTGGTCAGCGGCCAGTCCTATCTGGTCCCAGAGGTTCCCGCCACTTCTGTGCTCCCCTCAGGGACCTAAAAGAAATATCTGCATTGGAAGCCATAGGTGAGACTCTGGCCAGCTTATGGTGTAGAGCTGGCCACCACCAGGACGTGCAGCAAACCAGGTGCCACCCTGCCAGTTCTCCAGCAAGAATCCAAGATATCACAATCACAGCCTTCCCGTGTCCGTTTTTTAAGTTTATGTATTTATTTTTGTAAAGACGGGGTCTCCCTATGTTGCCCAGGCTGGTCTGGAACTCTTGGGCTCAAGCCACCCTCCTGCCTCAGCCTCCCAAAGTGCTGGGGTTACAGGCGGCAGCCACCGCGCCTGGCCCTGTATCCATTTGGTCACGTGGTAATCGAGGCGCTCCAGTTGCTGAGAGAGGTGAGGGGTCTGCGTGCTGCTCCCTGCTGGTAATCACAGCTCAGGATGGCACCAGGTGCCTGGCGGCCCAGTCTGAAAGAGAGCATTCCTTGGGGGCACCTTCCCCTGATTTGCAGGGTGCAGCTGAGATGGTTTGCCCAGCTCTCTGAGCCAAATGCCAAGTCCTCGGGGCTGCCTGGGCAAGGACCACAGAATAAACCTTGCCCCCACCACCGCCAGGGGACCGGGCAAGGGCGGACTTCGGGGCTCAGCTTCAGGTTTCCTCTTAGATGCTCTGGGCTCCCTGCAGTGCCGGCCAGCTGCTGCAAGGTCTTGAGAAGTTCCCGTTTTGGATGGCCAAGCAGACAGTGCTGTGTGGTCGGGACCCCGGCAGCAGGGGTCCAGCCTGGTGTCCCCTAGGCTGGGCTTGCTGGGCGAGGAAGACACTGGCACTGGCCTTATGGAGGACCTGCTCTGCCGTTGCCCACAGCCAGCCAATCTTGAGTTTCTGATGGCCAAGGTCAGGCCATCGCTGGGGAGGAATGGCACCCACAGCCAGAGAGCCTGGGCTCACCGTGTCCACCTCTTCCCTTTCAGGCTGTTTCTGGATCTCTGGAAGCATCTATAGCCGCTCACCCTCCCACCCGGGAGTCTGAGCCCCGGCCGGGTGCCCCTGCGGAGACCCTGCCCAGAGGCCCCAGGATGGTCCAGGAGCTGAGGCCAGCACCATGTCTGCAGAGCAGCCGGGAGGAGGACGGACCAGACCTCACCGGCGCAGGTAGGCGCCGGCTCTTTCTGTGTCTCTGGTTCTGGACTGGGAAAGGGTTGTCCCAGCAGGGATGGGGGCTCCCAGAGCCGAGTTCAGACCCATTCTGCCTCATGTTCTCGACATCCTAGGAGAGAGACCGGGTGCTGGCTGGGCCTCCCTCGCTGGATGTGGGTTTTCTTTTCCATACTCCTTAGGGTTCCAGAATCCTGGTTTAATCCACATCCCTGGTTCTCGATCCCCTCACCTGCCAGCCTCCCGTACCGCCTTTGTGGTGTTTCTTTTCCTATATACTCTATTGTCTTCATTCATTCATTCATTTGAAAAAATGATATCATGGTTATTCTTGAGCCCAGAAGGGGTCGTTTCTGGGTTTTCGCGGAGGTCAACGTGCTGTGTCCTGGGTGCATATGTGTGGTTCTCTTGGGCTGGGGCACCGGGAACCAGGCGGCTTTGTGCGCAGTGTGGGGCGGGGGGGTGAGGTGCCACCGCCGTCTTCTTGCTCCCACTCCCACCAGCCACAGACACGCTGCGGACAACACCCCCCACCCTAGGCATCCTCAGACACCTCCTGAGGGCTTTTGCACGGTGCTTCCCTGAGGCCAGGTGAGGCTGTGCCCTCCTAGGTGTGGACCCCTAAGGCTTTGACTGCTGGGCCTTGGGACCTGCGCCAGTTCAGACCCTTTGGCTGGGCTTGGACCCGAGATCATATCTCTGTTGCGTTTTTATGGCTCTGTCCTGAAGCCATCCCTTAGGTCGTATGTCCATCAGCAAGACCCTCCAGAGGGAGCTGTGGTCAAGGCTCTGCCCTGCCCCCATCACTGCTCCTAGAGCAGGGAGACTGGAGACCCCCAGCCCAGCCCACCCCAGAGCCAACCACAGTGAGGACATGGGCCCAAAGCACCCGTGTTATTGGGCCAAGCTGGGGAGGAGATGGACAGACGGGGACTGCTGGGGACCCATCCCCCTAGCCCTGGACTTTGATCTGGGACTTCCGTCTGCAGGACAACCCCAGTGCCGGCCTCTTTCTCTTGGTGTGGTAGGCTCCAAGGCGGGGGAGGGGGTGTCCAGAGGCTTTAGGGACTCTGAGCCCTTGGAAGGGTGTCCAGACACTGGCAGATGAGGACAGGGTGGTCAGGCAACAAAGCAGGCCAGGCAGGGACTGCTACCCCAACTCTGTCCCCCGAATGCTGGCACTGGCTTTACTGAGGACCTGCCCTGCCACTGTCCCGAGCCAGCTTATCACAGTTCCCAATCACAAAGGCCAGGCCTTTGTCGGGGAGGGATGGCTAAGAGCCTTGGACAAGTGAGTTCCCTGGTTTGTGCCTCAGTTTCCCCATTTGGGAAATGGGAGGACAGCTAACAGGAGTGCATGGCTCACGGGGCAGGTATGGCGATTAACTCAACCAGGACCCGAGCATATTCGTGACAGGCCTTGGCTCCCTCAGCGTTCAGGTTGCTGGCTGGGCCAGTGAGTTAGGATTTCTTTGTGATTTCTGATGCTCAGCTCTGGGTGGCAGCCCAGGCTGGGCCCATACCCGCCTGTCACTCAGGACATCCTCAGGGGAGGCTCAGGCAGAGGAGGATGCCGGTGTTCCCTGTGGCTGGGGCAGGCTGGGTGCCCCCATTTGCTGATGTGTCCTCCTCGGCCTGGGGCTCACGGGCCAGTGGAAGGCTCCCAGGAGGAGGCAGCTTGCCTGGTTCTCACCGTTTCTCTCCCACTGCTTTGGGCCCCAGGAGAGCCCCAGGAAACCAGAGCCCACCGGAGCAACACAAGGCCCAGACGGACTCTTAGGCAGTGTTTGGCTGTGATTTGGGGAGCAGGCCCACCCACTTCTTATCTGAGGGACTTTGGCAAATTAATGAGTCGTCCAGAGCCTCTGTCCTCACGTCTGTAAGAGGGAGCCGTCAGAGGAGGTCTTGGTAGAGCTTTCATGGCAACTGCGTGAGCTGGTGCTTGCAAGATGCTTAAAGAGGGCTGGGCACCAAGGAAGAACTGAGTCTGCCTCCCCCCACGCGTGTCGGGACACACGTCCTCTTCCTTCAGTGAGACAGCATCCCGTAGGTCAGAGAGGCTGAGCAATCTGCCTCCACTCACACAGCAGTGAGCCAGGGGGATGGGGCTTGAACCTCGCAGTCTGCCTTTTCACCTAACGCGGCCCACCCTTGTGCACCAGGCTGCTTCCCTGAGTGCTGGGAGGCTGAGGAGTTCGAGACCAGCCTGGCAGCCTCCAGGCAAATCTCTGTCTCTACAAAAAATACAAAAATTAGCCTGGCATGGTGGCATGCACCTGTCGTCCCAGCTACTTGGGTGGCTGAGATGGGTGGATCACTCATGCCCAGGAGGCTGAGGCAGCAGTGAGCCATGATAATACCACCCCAGCCTAGGCAACAGAGCAAGACTTTGTCTCAAAAAGTTTTTTAATTTAAAAAAATGTTTAAAAATAATGAATTCAGGAATTTTCAGGGTGACATGTTCAAAAGGAGTCCTTTTTGGAGACCTTTGGGAATGGGGCTGGTCACTCCTGAGTTCCTGGTCCCGGTGGCTGCCAGGTCCCTGGAGAGAACCTTGTCTCATCAGCAGGTCCTTGCTGCCACTCACTGAGTACTAGCAGGGGACAGTGGGGGACCCCTGAGTGTCTGAGAGAGCCAAGAAGGGTGCAGAGGTTATGGGGGACCCCCATGAATGTCCCTGCAACAAGGGCTGATCTGGGAAGCCAGGAGCCCCTGCCCTGCGGCCGGGTGGGGGCTTGAACCTGCATCTGCCAGCTGCTCCCTGTCAGGCTGCAGCCTGAGCCCCGCCGGCTCCCCAGCCAGAGACCCACCAGGAGCGTGTCCCACAGTCAGGCCCCGCCTGGGCAGCCACTGCTGCTCAGAAACGTGACAGTGACTAATGGTTTATTACACACCTGCCACCTCTCATCTGGCAGGCGGGCGGGCGCTGTCTCCCGGGCCCAGCTGTGCACTGCCAGCTGGGCGGCGGGGCGGGCGCAGGGGGAGGGGGCACGTCCAGACACGCAGACTCATGAGACAGACACAGCCGTGGTGCACACACACAAACACACACAGAGGAAAGCAGGCACGCGGAGACAGCCCACAGACACAGCATAGGCATGGGTGCATGCATAGACCACACGCCCGCACAGATAGGCAGACACACACACACACACACACACACACACACACACACACACCCCTGCCGAGGTTTTTCCTAGGCACATGGTATGCACGTGGATACTCACAGGCACAGGGCCACATGCAGACAGACACAGACCCTGTCCGCACCACACACACCACACACAGCCACACACCCAGAAGCCAGACCTGCTCCCACAGGTGGGTACATGCACAGCCTCACACACACACATGCAGTACACACATGGATACATGCACAGACTCCCTCACACGCACACACACACACACACACACACACACAGGTGCAGAGACACAGAGACACACAGAGACAGGCATAGCCCCCCACGGACACAGATGCGCACGGGCATCAGGACCCTCTGACACACACATATAAGCACACATTGCACACACACACACAGGACGTACATTCCAAATGCCCATTCCCACACGGTCTCCTCTTTCCAGACCACGGCCCCAGGGGCACCGAGCCCTCCCTGCCCTCTGTGTCTCTGGCCCCCGGCCATGGTGGCCCCACCCTGGCACTGGCTTGGGCAGGGGCCTTTACCAGCGGTGGGGGTGGCAGGGCAGGTGGAGGGACTGTAACCGCCGGGGCAGCTCATTGCTGACTCCTATTTCCCTGGAAATGCCTTGTATGTGTGGACAGCGGCTTTTGCCAGGGAAAGGAAGTAGGAACAGGAGGAGCCGCTGTGCCAAGCTGGGGCCTGAGCCGAGTACCCCAGGGACACGCGTGGCCGACAGCTGCCTTGGCCTCTCCCAGAGGCAGGGGTTGTGCATGCTGTGGAAGGCTGCGATGAGTTTGGATAGCACTGGGTCCCCCACCCCAGGCTTCCAGGCCAGCCCACATGGCTCATTAGACTCACGTAACTACGGCTGGATGGGGCTGCCGCCCTGTCCAGAGTGGGGCCACTCCCTGGCCTGGCCCTCAGCATGTGGGCAGCTTTGGCCCTCAGGTGTTACATTCAAAGTGCCCGTCTGGGAGGTGGCCGCTTGCTGGCTTCGGGGAGCACAGCTCCAGGGCTGGGGACCCTGCCCTCCTGTGAAGACGTGGGGACCCCTGGGGCTGGATTCCTCTGGCAGGCAAGGGCCAAAGGGACTAACCAGGCGTCTCCAGCTGCCGGGAGAAGGGTGCAACTGAGACCTTGTGACGAGCGTCCTTCCCTCGTGGTGTGGGGGACATCCGAGTCATCTCCTTCTAATACTCTTCGACCTTTAGTCAAATGAAGACCCATTTCTCATGTGCCATCACATGCAGCATAAAATCTATCGAGACGACACTCCTCGTTTATCATCAGTGGATGGGAGCAGGCTTCCCTGGAACAATTAGCTTTGCGTTGTCCGCAGCCGGCGTGGGAGGAAAGCAGCGCTGGCTGGTGAGAGGAGGGAGCGGCTTGGACTCAGGTCCAAGTTTCCAAGTCCCAGCACTGCTACCTCCCGGCCACGGAGCTGACTCAGGGTTCAGGACCTTCCCTGGGCTCAGCTGCTCTGACTGCTGATTAGGCATGGTAAAAATAAAATCCTTGTGGTAGCATGGTGTCAGTGACATTGGAGATGGCGCTGAGGGACGCCATGCAAGGCTGCGCAGGTTGCACACTGTGCAACTCCAGAAGGCACCATTCTCATTGTGGTCTCTGTGAACACGCTTTCTGCATGGCCATCGGGGCTGCCGTGTTGCGCAGCTTAGTGGTGGCCCTGGAGTTGTGCCACGTGGGCCCTGGGTACCCTTCCTGAGCTGTGAAACAGTTTCTGAAGCGGTTATTGATATCATTTTTTTTTTTTTTGAGATGGAGTCTCACTCTGTCACCCATGAACTTGGCTCACTGCAACCTCTGCCTCCTGGGCTCAAGCGATTCTCCCAC